TCCCGCCTGTGGAACTCCCTTTTTACTTGCTTCCTTGGTAACTACAATCTTCAAAAAGTTAAATGCAATGACAATTGCCATCTTCTGATGTCTTGAACCCCATTCTATCCTTTCCTCATTCCCCCTGTACACTGTTTTTTCTCTCACCTTCATTCTATATAACCTCTGCAAACCAGTGACACACCCACCTTGCTTGGAGTGAAATGCTTAAAAAAAATATAAGTTCTTAGTAGAAACAGCAAGTCATAATAGGCACAAAATTACAAATAAGACTAAAGCACTGCATGAAATTTTAAAAGGAAAACACCTTTATTACACAATTATGAAAAAGGTGAAAATACAAAGTTTGCATAAAAATTTCCTTTTGTGTACCTATTAAGGCAGGATAACAATTTCCAATAAAAAGAAAAATCTCCTGAGTCGACCAAGCATAGAAATAAATACAATATGGGAACCAGTAATAAGGAGTGCCAGAGAAAAGCAATGATAACAAAGTTGCAATATGAGCTCTGGTAAAAATGGTTGCTGAAGACATTAGGTTTATAATACCCAGATGCCCTCAAGGATGCATGGCACAGTGGATAAAGGCATTGGTTAGATCCAGTGACAGGACCCAAAGAGTGTGAGTTCAATACCCAGTTAAGGCAGTGGAGAACTTTCAGAGGGAAATTAGCAGGAGATAACTGATAACTGACATCCATCAAACATGGCACGCGGAACTAGAACAGTCTACGCCAGTGAGCGAAATAAAGTGTTCAGTTCGAAATTCCAACCACCTGAAGAAGGCCGGAGCGTACAACGGCCAAAATGTTGTGATAAATATGGTGACAAAGATGAGAACAATAATCCAAATAATGTAAATAATGTACATAATACCTCATCTCAGAAATATAGACAGACTCCAAAAAGATTCCCATCGAAAAAATTACAGTTTGGGAAATGACAAGGATTTTGAAAAAGACAGAGAAAAAAATTCAAGAAGACAGTAAAAAAAAGGTTCAACCACCTTTGAGAAAAAAAAAAAATGAAAACATTTACTTTTACTTGCCTCACAAGCATCTCTGGAACATATAGTAATTTTAGAAAAGTCCTTTTTAAATACACAGTTCATGCTTGGGATATTCTTTTCTGTTGTTTGTTCTCCAATTTTTACTTGAACATCAAAATTCTTTAGTCTCTCTGGCTGGTAACTGGTGCCTTCTTGTTTCTTGATGTCAAAAGCCTTCTTGCGTTTTGATTTGCCTTGTACCCTTGTTGTCAAAATGTCTTCTCTCTGCCTCTACTGACATGAGCTCTATATATTTGGAGAAACAGGCTCACAAGGTCCCCAAATCAGGTTGTTACTCGAGCTTAAGACCATGTCTCTCATTGGTCAGTATATATGAAAAAATAATTTTCCATAAACTGGAAATGGATCCTTCTCAAATTTTGGCAGGTTTTAACCACTGAGCCGAAAAAGATAGACAAGTATATCAATTTTTTGCACAAACCTTCTGGCCCTCATAAAAAATACACTTTTCTCAAAAGAATGTGTACTAAAAAGACAAACTTGACAAACATTTATTCAAGGCTAACATTTTTAAAACAGTAAAAATGAAATTTTTATAACATACATTGTAATGAACCATTCTCATCCCTTTTGTATTCCATCAATAAGAAAAAAAGTTCTAATCAGACAGCTTATTCCCAAAAACCACTATTTTGTGGAACAGACTCCCAAGAGGATGCTTACCCGATCACTACAATCTTAACTTCTTCAAGTCTCAAGTCAACTGTTATCTATCCTACATATCCTCATAATCTGCATTTACTTCCTCTTACGTCGATATAACTTCATTTGTTAACACTCTACATTGAGTTCCTCTTGGGCCTTGTATGAATATTTAGGTAAAAAAGGTTTTTCCTGTAATAAAAAAAAAAATCATTTGCAATGTATTCTTTGTTTTCTGTGTGTCGTATCCCTTCTGGATGTGGGCAATCAGTTTTTTTTTTTCACTCTGAGTAAGATTTGTCTTTTTGCTATCTCTCCTAAAACCTGTTCTGCTAACCATTTACACAAATATATTCTTCTATGTGCCTTGTCTCTTCAGTATGTGACTGATTATGGCTCTCCACAATTTCTTGTCCTTTGTAGATCTTAGTAATCTATTTTTTTTGCTATCTCCTAAAACCTGTTCTGCCAACCATTTACACAAGTTTGTTAAGTAGATTATGCAGTTTCCTCTAACCCTCTTGCCTTCAATAAGTCCTGTGAGTGTCAAATTCTCCAAGCTCTCTTTCTTCATTATGACCTCGAAAAATTTTGTTGCTTTCTGATCCTAAGTGTAAGTGTCCTTTTTGTTCTATTTTCCTTAAAAATTCCACATATTCAGGCCACGGTATTCTCAGTATCCTTCTGTAGAATCATACTTCTATTGTTTCAAGTCTCTTCTTCATCTGTGAGGAGATTGTTCAGCACTCACTGCCATATATTAGAATCAATATTAAATAACATTTCAGCAATCTTTTAAAAAAATCCCTGACTATACAATACTGTCATTTGTAATGCATTTCTAGCAGTAGTAAAATTCATTTGTAATATCATAAAAATCATTCCCTATGCAATACTGTCATAAAATTATTTGTAATGCATTTCTATAGTAAATTATTTATGATGCATGAAGCTGTAGTAAAACCACTTGCAATATCTTATGAAAATCATTCCCAATTCAGTAGTCATAAAATTATTTATTATGCAATTCTATAGTAAAATTATTTATGATGTATAAAGCTGTAGTAAAATCATTCACAATGCAATTCTCTAGTAAAAAGATAATTTGCAATATATTTTGATATTAAAAAAACATTTGCAATGAATATCTTTATTAATATTTATGAGCTCTTTTAATTTTTAATAACTGCATTATTGATTAATAAAAGTTATTTTTAATTGCACCCAGTTTTATCTCCTTTAAAAAGGAAAAAGAATATTGTTTTTAGAACAACATGATAATTAATTGGGTTATGGTGTTTCTCTTGGCCCTTTACTACAAGAAACTGGTTAACTTACCTGACAAGGTCTTTAATTCCCACCTGCTACTGTTATCAAAATAAGACACATTCTCTTAAGACGTGATTCATAAAAAAAAATTATATAGAGTAATGTGAAAAGAAATCTGTCTTCCAAATATGTTTAAACAAAATCTGTTGGAGAGTTTTCCTTCTCAATTCCTTTTTAAGTATGGTATAGGAGGAGTTATAACTCTGAGTAAATAATTATGAACCCCCTAACATTTATATATACAAAAATACTCATAGAAATAAGAAATAACAAGATGTGAAAGCAACAAAATGAGTATTATTTATTATTTGGTTGTTATGGGATGTTGGAGACACGAGAGACTGAGTAAAATTGTGAGTTTGGGGTCAAATGTAGATCAAATATGGATCAGAATCTGAGAGAATGATAAGATAAAGAATAAGTAAAGTGTATACAGTCTTTCTTGTATATTTTTTATAGATGTATGTAATGAGTGTCCAGATAATTTAGTCGGAAAATACAAGAAGTGTCTGGAGTTTTCTTACCTCAAATTTTTGTTGAGTGCTAACTTTGGTTGATTTTGTTTAGCAGCATACCAACTTCTATGGGTCATTTAATGCGGGAATCTAAATATTTTGAACAGTTTTATGACTTCAACTAAATATATTCTGAATGTAATTCTATGCCTTCAATTACAGATAAAATGTATTGCTAGTCATTTTGTTTTAAAAATATATTGGTCATTTTACTATAAATAGGTATTGTTGGTCATTTTTTTTTATATAAAAATGTATTGCTGGTATTTTTATACTCTTATAGTGATTTGTTTTTGTTTGGAGTTTCACTTTTTGGCCTAAAGCCAGAACCCTAATACGTGTTACCAGCCCATTGAGTGCTAAGAGATAAATGTTACTATTATAACCTGAGAAAGGAAAAGGAGCCGAAATTTTCATTGACACATGTGTTGACAGCAAGGCCATGTTGACTGCTTGTCTGATAGTGAGAATGTTTCAAGAGGTCTGTGTGTGTAGAGGAGAAAAGTGGGGTCGATTCTCATTGATTTAGAAAGAGTGAATTAATGATAATTATAATTGTTATAATCATTTTATCATAATTAATTTTGACATTATAATTAATTTTTATTTATTTGTTTTTTATGGAGACGACTGTGACAGTATAATTAATAGTTTAGTTATGTATTTCTTTATGGACATAACAATGGCAGCATTCAAGGAAATGGGTCATTCACTTGATAAATCTTCTTTTCTGTGCTATATCCCTTCAGGATGTGGGCAATCATGGCTCTCCACAATTTACTATACTTTGTAGCTCTTAACAATGTTTGTTTTTTAGTGTACTTCCCAATCTCTATTCTGTTAGCCATATGGAAAGAAGTCTGCCAAACGCATTTAACCAAAATCTGTAGAATTATCATCACTCTTGACTTCCATTTCAGTATGGCTAAATTCAAAGAAATGGGTCAGTCTTTCTTTTGGAGTGAAATGGCCAGTTGCAAAAAAAAAAATATAAGCTGATTTTGGTATAAGCACCTTTCTCACTAATGACCACTGGCTTTATTTAAATGTTGTTTTGCAAGTTTTATAATAAAGTGATTATCATTCTGTCCAATCAACCAACAAACTGATTGTTCTTGACTTATTTACTAACACTGAACAACAAAACACCTTTTGATTTTTTAGGTGAATCATGGTCAACATACTTTATTTCAAACCAGAATACCAGGAAATTTCCCAATGGTCCCTAAAATAGTGGTCCAAAAAATAAAAATATGCATTAACATAAATAAATAAAACAATATTGAATAGATGTAACATTTTATTTGCGTAAAACCTTTACTTTTATTTGATTCCTTTGAATACTTTTTGGGATTAAGTGGGTCCTTTTGACCAGGCTCTTTTAGAAGTTTTCCCTGCAAAAATTTTCAACCCAATCCACCACTGTTTGAAACTATTGTGAGCTTACAGCCACATCACATTGAAACACCAGTTCCCGAAAGATCACTGAAGTTAAGCAATGTTGAGTCTGGTCAGTACCTATATAGGTGACTGATTGAGAATACCAGGTGTTGTAAGCTTGGATGTGCAGGTGGTGTAATGGATAGCAGCTTAGAATTGTTAATCAATGAGCCAAGTTCCAATTCCAGTTGGGCTCTTTATATACACTTACATGCAAATACTCTCAGGAATGGTATTAATTCATATATTCTCCCCCCAGCTATGGGTTAATTAATAAGACTTATATCACCAAATCATTATTATCACAAAAAAAAAAAAAAATTCTTACAATCTAGAAATATTTTCTGGCTTGAAATATCCAGCAAAGGGTTGATAAGCTGTAAAAATGAATCAATCAATCAAATACTGATTAGCTACACAGGCACATCTTTTAGGTTTATTTACATTCTCTGGAATACAAATGTTTAGAAACTTCTGTGGCCACAAAGTGAGGGATCAGTTTATATATTGATTGTACTATATAACTGATCCCCTACTTTGTATCCATGTTGAAATTTCTTGTTTGTTTACCAAATTCTGATTAGGCATGAACCCACCTCTCCTTTGCCCAGCTTTGGGTCAATTAGTAAGACTTGTATCACTACATTGTTATTATTTCCAAAATTATTCATTATCTCCTGCAAAGGGCTGATAAGCTATAAAAAACGAATCAATGAATAAAATTGTTGTTCTGATCTTTGACTATTATAAATGTTATTATAGACAATGCTTCCACCTCTGGCTATCATCAAATATCCATTATTTGGCTGATATGGGATTTTCTTCTATATACCATGTGCCTACAAGACGTGATTAATCATGGCTCTCCACAACTTCCTATCCCCCATAGCTCTAAGCAATGTTTGTTTTTTATACTATCCTTCCCATTCCCTGTTATCTAATTACCTCATTAGGTAGGTTACTGTTTTTCGCTGCCCTTCTTGCCTTCAATTCTCCAAGCCTTCTTTCCTCATTATGTCCCAAAAATTTCAACAATCCCTTTCTGATTCTAAATGTAAGTGTTCCATTTTATTTCCATTTTCCTTAAAAACTTCCTCATTGTTCGCATGTCCAGTTCATGGAATTCTCAGAATCTTTCTGTAGAACTACATCTTTGTTGTCTTCTGTCTCTTCTTCATCCATAATAGCTAACCATTTGTTACCATATTGAAGAACTGATATTACATAGGATCTCCACATGCTTTTCTTTGCTTCTAACAAAAGTTTTCCTGCTGCTTAATACTTTGTTTAGTTTTTGGAAGGCATCTTTTGCTATTCCAATGCACCTTCAGATTTCATAATAATAAAAACTCTCAGTAGGATTTGTTGAAATGCATTCATATTGCTTAGCATCAATGCATTGCTCCAAACTACTTTTGCCAAGGATCAGAGTGTAGTATCTGTGCACCATGAGAAAAATTAATACACACAAAATGGAATGCTGAAAACTTCTTGGCCTAAGCCATTTCACTGAATCAGTATTTTGAAATAATGGTTGAAGTAATCTGAGAAACTGATAAGGACATAAACTTTTCAGTATTCCTTTATACACACACACATATATATCTATATATATATATATATATATATATATATATAATTAGGAAAAAAACTTAAAAATCCATATTTGGTAATAAATTCATTTCAATGAATATAGGTATATTCATCTCATCAGACTGACGACATTTTCTGAAATGGAATCAATATATCCAGACAAACAGATACACAAAAATAAAAAAGGAAAGGAATAAAAAAAAATACAAGATGAAACAATAGCAAAAATAAATTAACCTGGAAAATTTTTCGGGGGGGGCTTACATTGGAAGAAAGAACAAATTAACGTAACAGGTAAGAGAAGGTAAGGGGATCAAATTTAGCAGAATTACAATGTGTCAAAATAAAGTTTACAAATTGAGGCTGTTAAAGCAATGTCTGTATAGACTGCATCATATCATATAATCATCATCCTATAATACTACTACTAATAATAATATTTGGTATTATTTATTTATATATATATATATATATATATATATATATATATATATATATATATATATACATGAGAGAAGTAGATATACATTGTTTTTTTTACACTATTTACATTGTTCAGACTATTGTACTCATATTTAGTGAAAGTATTGGTTGAAGTAATCCAGTGACTTGACCCAAAGAGTTGTGAGTTCAATACTTGGCCACAGCAGAACAAAAACTTGGAGAGTTGAGTTACTAAAGGGAATTAACTGAAACTGAGATATCCAGAAAAGGCATGGCACGTGGAACTAGAACAATTCAAGAGTTCAGTTTGAGTTTCCATCTGTATATCACCTGAAGAAGCATAACAGCTGAACTGTTGTGAATATGACACCAAATATGAGGACAACAGTCTGAATAATGTAAATAGTTACATTAATGAGCAATAAATAATATCTCAGAAATATAGACATTCATTGTTTTATATATGTGAATATATATAATGTAAGTGTGTAGATTATATATATGTGAGGCTTACAGCCATCTCACATTGGAACACAGGTTCTTGTATGATCACTGAAGTTAAGCAATATCAGTCCTGGTCAGTACCTAGATGGGTGACTGCTTGGCAATCGCAGGTGCTGTAAGCTTCTATGTAGGGGTAGTGGAATTGATAACAGCACGGAATTGGAAATCAGAGAGCTGAGTTCCAATTCAAGTCTGTTATATTCACTTTTGCACAAATACACTTGGAAAAGTTATGAATCCATCTCTTCTCCTTCCCCCATCTATGGGTTAAATAATAGGACTTCTATCAGTATAATCGTTATTATCAAAAAAATTATTACAATCAAAAAATATATTCTGGCGTTAAATAATTTGAAAAAGGTTCATAAAACAAAAACAACCATCAGTATGTGAATTGTTGTACAAAAAAATCTTTTGGAAAATTTTTTCTGGAGAACAATGCACACAGTGTGTTCTTCCATTTAGTACAATCTAACTAAAGCAATAATTAGCTTTGATAGTTAGAAATTGATAATACAGGAAGACAGTAATATCAATCAATTTTTCAAAAATTAAATAAATTATTAAAAAAAACACCTTTCAAAGTTTTTTTCAGATTTCATTCTATTGAACACTCAAGGAATTAAATAAAAAAATAAATATTTAGAATTTAAAAATCAGTTAAATAAAAAAAAACAAATTAGGACATAAATTAAATTTGCCTGAAAATTTGTTTTTAATCATTTTCATAATTCACTTTCGCTGCAAGTTTCTTCTTTCAAATAAAAAAAATAGTATTTTTGTGAAATTGTAACTATATTATACGGAAATTGCAACATCTTTCCTTGCATAACGTTAAAAATAGATGTTTTGTTATTCTTACTAATGAGGATGACGACGACTATGGCAGAGAAGATGGAGGTAACAAAAGAAAAAATAAATGAAGTGACAATAAGCAATAAAATTTAAATTGAAAAAAAGAACGGGAAGGAGTTTGGGCTGGTTTAAAAATAATAGAGAACGAATATTTGGTTAACACCGGTGTTTATAAAATCTAGTTTATGTTTGTGTACGTGATACCTATGTAAAATGCAAAACAAAAAAATTCATAAATTAAAGAAAAAGGAAGTAAAAAGTTCAGAAATCTCTGTTGCTTCCAATTCTTTTATTATTGGGAATCTATTTTAATGATTTTTAAAAATATTTTATTAGGAATGTGTTTTTTTTTATTATTTTAAACAAGATGATAAAAACGACTACATTGCTCTTTCATCTTCTTCTCTCTCTAGTCTAGTCTAAGCGGTTGTCTTAAAAAAATATGGTAAGTCTATCCGAAGATCAGAACATTTTGCCAGAAAAATATAAATTTAAATAAAATAAATATAAAAAATACATATAACCAACCTTTCAATCCCACATCAAAAGCATTTTTTTTAATAATTAATTAATAAATCTAAAAGAAAAAAAATTACGGTGTGAGAATGTGAACATTTTGCTTAGAAAAATATAAATTTAAAAAAAAATAAATGTAAAAAAAATAACCAACCTTTCAGTCAATTCCAGACCAAAAATATTTTTAAAAATAATTATTAATTGATAAATTAAAAAAAAAAATAAATTTAAAAAAAAATTTTTTTTTAATTTTTTTGAGTGGAGGGAGGGGGGTAAAAATTAAAATAATTTAAAATCGATGTGTAAAGTTATTTTTTTATATATACATTAAATTCTGTCGTAACACCACATAACAGCAATAATTACGCGTGTACAGTCGTACATACATTTTAGAAACGCACACACGCTTCCTTGTATATAAATTTACATACATATTTATACACATATTTTTTTTACTTGCGTTTTACTCTCTTCCTTCATCTTCCCCCCTCCTCCGTCGACGTCAAGATCATTTTTATTTTAAAAAGGGCGGAGAACCTTGTATTTGGCTTTAAGTAAAAATGTTAATAATTTATATAGAGCGAGCACTTGTCTTGCACTATAGTCTCTCCTTCTTCTTTAAGTCTTAGCAATTCCTAACTCGGAGGATACAACTGTGGTAGCTGGATTTTGATTTATTTATTATTATTTTTTTTTTTTTTTACCAGTAAAAGACGGCGAAAATACCGGCATACAGACAGGAAAGCAGAATATCAAAAAAGAGTTTGATTTTTCTGGAGAAAAAGAACAAGAAAAGAGACAGATTCTTTCTCATGACTCGGAAGAAGAAAAGAGCGTTGCGTGTACGCTCTAGGTAATATCATGTGTAAGTTCTTCTTCGTCTCAAAAAATAATAATGCTGCTATTATAATAATAATAATAATAATAATGCTTCTTACAAATCCAGAAGCTTTATCAGTGAATAATAGTTAAATACTCTCTCTACAAAATATATAGACATTTGAAAAAAAAAAGGCATCGAATATGTGTGTGTGTATATATATATATATATATATAGTTTTGACTAGTATGCAACTGTCATTTTTAAATGATCACACTAGTACAACTACTAATAATAATAACAATGATAAAGAAATTGACATGTTATTTTGTTTGTGTTACAGTTTAAGTGGCAACTAAATGAGGGGTGGGGACTATTCCCCCTACTCCCAGCTTTTAAAAATTGAACCTTACCTTAAGAAAAATATTTAGTTTAGCTCGATATACTTTTAGTTTAGTTTTAAAAAAAATATCCTCGTAAAAATGATTTTTAGGCGTGTATATTTTTGATGATGATGATAATAATAATTATTATTATTTTTGTTTTGTTTTCTAATGTTTAACAAAAAATATCAACAGCTTTAAAAACAGACCTTTTATTTTCTTTCCGTCTTGTTTTAAACTGGACACGAGTTTAAAAATACTTACTTCTTTTCTTTACCCTCCGGAGCCGGTTGTCCAGCAATGGGCCTGATTTTAGCTTAAATAATCTAGTTTAGTGGCCAAAACTGACCTCCACCCACCCACTTCGTCTATCCACCTGTCCCATTATGTTCTAACTAATCAAGGTAATTAATTGGTCTCTTCTTATTAATTAACGTGAAGGATCAGTAATACGACTTCAAAAAAAAAAAAAAAAAAAGAGAGAGAGAAGATAAATAAAACGTAAAATTTTAAAAAAGAAAAAATAAATAAGTCTGAAAAATGTTGGCGAGTAATTCTCTAAAATTACGTCTCCCGTGGAAAATAATATTAAAAAAGGATTCTAAAATTGATTTATTTTACCTTCCTAATCATGTATTGTAGCCTCTAATTGAAGGCTAGCTTTAAAGAAATTTCCCGTGTTTAGTAATTATTTGTAGCTAAAAAAAGTGAAAATTGTTTATTTTTACTTAATTTTTCTCCCTTTATTGCTTTGTTGTGTGCTAAAGAAAAGATGACTTTGTCAAAAAATTGATTGGATTAAATCACTTTTTTGTCGTATTCGGTAGAATTTTTTCTATGATCGATCATTTTAAAAGTGTTTTTTTTTTTTTTTTTAAGAATAGAGAAAACTGTACCGTGCAGGACAGATACTACACTCTCATCTTTGTTGTTTTGTTTTTTTGTTTTGTTTTTTAAGGCAAGACGCTTTTAAATTCAAAACAAACAGGGCTTTATATTTTTTTTTTTTTACATAATTTTTTTTTCTTGGTGTATAAGTTAGTAGTCTTTTCTTTTCTATTGTTAAAAAAAAAGAAAGAAAAACTAATAAGAAAAAAGCTTACTGAACGAAAATATTTTTTGCTGTTTGTGTTTACTGTTTAGTGTTCTTCCATGTATCGTATCCATTCAGGACGTATGTGTTCACTGCTCTCCACATCCTCCTACCCCTTGCAGTTCTTAGTAATGTCTGTCTTTTTGCCTTTGTTTTTTGTTTTTTTTTTGTTTTTTTCTTGCCATTCCTCCCATTAATCCATTCGCCTATGTTTGTCAGATAGGTAGCCTCCTCTATCCTTTTTGCCTTTCATACATTCTGTGAGTGTCAAATTTTCCAAGCCTTCTTTCTCTTTTATGTATCTTAGAATTTTCAGCTCTTTTTTATTCTAATTGTCCTTTTTGTCCCTGTTTTCCTTAAGACTTCCTCATTGCTTACATGTCTCGTCAATGTTATTCTCAGCATCGTTCTGTATTGCCACATTTCCTCTTCATCTGTGAGGAAATTGTGTAGACTTGTTTCATTTTTAACTAGTCTGCCTTTAATTATTTTTTAAACCATCATTGATGGGAGATAGCTTTATTATTTAATTTTTCTTTTTTAAATACAGTGAAACAAATCTGCCAAGAGAAACTTCAATTTTCATTGCAGAGATTTCTTCAATTGTTAAATGAAACCTTCGATTTCATCTCTAGAAACAAAAATAAAAAATATATAATAATTTCTAACTCCCTATCACTTATAAGAGCAATAAAAAAAAAAAAACTTAATTGCCATTTGGAGAAATTGCTATGCAGGCTGAATTCATTATCCAACAGCAGTGCTATGTTGGATCTCAAGCCACATTGGAATTCGAGGAAACGAACAATCAGACTCAGCTGCAAAGACTGCCCAAAATGAAACCCGTGATAATACTTTTAGAAATTCTTGGACTAATGACTCCCAATGTGGGGTGCATGCCCCACTGGTGGGGCATGGCAATATTTTAGTGGAGCATGCATCCTTCAGCTTACTATACCAATAGAATAATGAGGCAATTTGAGAATGAGTTATTAACAGTGAATTATTTTCTAGTGAGTGAGTAAAAGTGTTAATGCGTGTTAATACATACAATGCATATACAGTATGCATACATAAAAGTATTTTCTGTGTATGTACATACATGTGTAATTGGCATACAGGGTATTTCCCGTTTTCTCACACTCACATGTCTTGGTCAACAAAGGAGAGGGCGTGATGCATGTCACTGGATGAGCCCATGATTTGTCAGCCATTCAGCACATATAGAGAGGGTGTAATGCCTATTGCTGGAAGAGCCCATGTTTTGTCAGCTAATCAGCATGTGTGAGCATTTGGTTTGCTTCCTTCATTTGCAGTAAAATTTTGAATATGTAAGAATTAAATATTATATGGGGTGCACCAGAATTTTAGAAATACAAAAGTGGGGCATGGCCCAAAATTGGTTAGGAACCATTGGCTTAGAGGGACCTGAAAAATGAAATAAGCAGTTTCA